ATACTTTTAGTTGAAGGCACTTTTAGTGGGCATGATACATGCTTTCATTTTAATTAAAGTGGTTATTCTAATTGCAGATAAAGAGGTGACAAAATGATATGGCCCTGAAAGTCATGGATTGGCATTTTAATCAAACCCCATCAACCTTAAAAAAACACCACAATTAAAAAAGCTTTCCCCAAAAAACAGGCAATGTGAAAATAACATTAGTACTGTGTGAAGGATGTAATTGGTGGGCGTTAGTGGAGGGGCATGAAGTGAGGGCATGTGGACTAGAACAAAGTGCAGACCGGCTCACTGGCCTGTGGAGATGGAAAACATGTGGTTGATTTTGGTTGGTTTTGAGGCACATGTAATTAATAATAACCTGCTTACTTGCATCCTAAGTCATCACCTTTCCTTATCGTAGTATGTATGGTTGATCCCAGTGTTCTTCTCGGCCAAGAGCCCAAGACCTTCACAGCGTTATATCGAGACACTGAGACAAAGATCACTGTGACTGCTGTGACAGGGAGAAGAAAAGGAAAATTCCCAGAAATGAGACATAACTTTTGTCCTTGGATGAAGACAGGTGACCTGGGGACGGAGTCCTGCAAGCCCACACTCTCAAAAATGTCACCGTAAATTAACGGTATTTTACTGGCAGCAAGGACACCGGGAATTTATGCGTTATTTTACGGTATAATTCCGTAAATGGTTTTCACACGATGTTACCGTAAAGTGGATAGCTGTATGTTACTGTAAACTTGAACGAATTTTACTGTGAATTGACTGCAATTTACTGGCAGTCGACGCTAGTAACTTACTGTTTTATTTACAGTGCCCTACCGTAATTTACGGTAGGTTGTCGTATATTGGATTACAGTTTCTTACCATACGATTACTTACCAGAATGTTACTAATTCCCCACAAATTAATGAAAGACAAACAAAATAATTTCGGTCATAGTGGTTGGAGTTTACAAGATGCCTTTAAGATAAAAATGTTCGGCATTTGTAACCAAGATCAAAACATAAAATATGCCGCATGTATACAATAATAATAAAATGAATGATAAAATCATTAGGAACAAGGTAAACTAACTGCAACAATATGCTATGGAACACTTTCAATTGACCGCAGCAAACGGCTGGCGTCCTTAATCCAGTGTCATTGGTAAAATATTAAAATTATAAAGTTGAAGAAGACAACAAGATGTAAGGAAGGAGAATGTTAATCATGTCAGGCAAATAACACTTACCAACGTTACTTGGAGAGACGAGGCAATGAGAAACTCCTCCCATGTTGAACTGACAGGTGTTCTGGATGAACTGAGACTACGCGTCTGACGTCACGTTCAGGAGCAGTCGGTCGCGATTGACACTCAAATGACTTTTAGGCAATGAACACTTTGAATGATACAAATATTTATAATCTTTACATTCCAGCCACTGAAACGACAGTGAAGGCTGCACATGCGATAGGGAGGGTGTGCTGTGCAGCACAAGGTTGGCAGTTCGAATCCTGGCTGCTCCCTGTGCCAAGTTGAAGTGTCACTGAGCAAGACACCTAACCCCCAATTTCTCCACATAAAATGATGTCAAACCATGGGCGTTTTGGATAAAAGTGACAGCTGCATGTATAGTAATGTCCTGTAAGTCAAAGTCATCATCGTATCTCATTATGATGACTTACAGGACCTGCTTTTCAGTGGCTGACATGGGCTTCCATACATTAACCTACAACAGATGTAGATGGATTGTGATTCACTGCACTTGTATGTGTATTTCCACCACTTCATAAAATATATGTAACATGCAGTTGAATTACGGTGGTCTGCTATTATTGTAAATTGACAGCTTTAACTGTTTATTCATGACATTGGCCGTTAATTTACAAGCAGGGGATGGAAATTTAACTGTATGTTACAGTTATTATGACATACTGTAAGATACCGTTAGAAAAGCACCGTAAATTTACAGCAATTTGTTACAGTGCACTGAAGAGACAGACAGAAGAAACAATGCCCAGGCACTTAGGCTTCTATAAGACACCCAAAGTCAATGTATCATCCATCTGGTACAACATTAATTGTAAAGCCTTCTACTCAGACATAAATGATTATTTTCCAGGTTGATATGAATTAAAGTTGCAGCTGTCAGCTCAGAAGACTGAACATGCAAAGAAGCATATTTATAGCTCTTCAGTTCTATATGAGTATTTTAAGAAACGGATTCCTGGTCTTTCTCAACTTCTATCATCCACTTTGACCGAAATGAATTGAAAGGAGAACAGCTCATGACATTCCACAGAAGGAGCGCGTGCACGCCCACAAGAGCTGAGTAGTGCTGGTCCCTGACCACAGGATGGCAGCGTTGCACACTGGACAGGAGCACTTGCTTCTTTGACATTCCGAGTCCTACACTACAGACACTACATTACACTAATCTTTGCAGCAGTTAACAACTCTGAAGCGTTTTCTGATAACTTTAAGTCCAAATTGCCCCTCTATGTTTTAAACGATTTCCTGCAGAAAATGTGTGGTTCAAAGATAAGGTTGATGCATTGTGCCTCATTTGAGCGATATCCTTAAAACATATTGTAGTCAGCACGAGGGTCAGCCAGGTGCAAATCGACATCACACATAAAGCAATAATGGTATCGAGACATCATTCTGCCAAATAGGGGATTTTGCTTCTGTTCATGGGGCGTGAAAACCTTTTAATCGTTGAACTTCACTCATCCTCGACCCTGGAAGCCGGCGATGTCCCAGCATTCACACACAACATCAAGTCGCCTTCCCACTGTATGGCATCATCATCAGCACATTTATTATGGAGGTCTGCCATCCAAATCCAGCAAGCCAGTAGAGATCAAATATAGATTGTTTGCCAGCAGTTTGGTATCATTTCCTAATACGGGAACATTTAGGTTGCAAATGTTAACAAGGCGCGATTAGAAGGTCACGGGTGGGAGGTGGGCGAGGGGCTGAGGGTTGAGTCAACAACACACGCCATAGAAATGTATACGTCACCCGAAAGCTGGCAACCTGGAGGTTCATTTGAAATCAGCCCTGTATGACAGGTTATGTTAATAATGAATCAGAAAGGAGAATTAATCGATTATTATGATGACAGTTTATGAAAGTATATGATGCTATTGCCATGCTAACGTATGTCTCATATGATGTTGCAATGCTAAATTCCTACAATGATAGTTGATAAAAAATACAATAAATCCATCCAAAATACAACTTTAACATCGAGAAATATAGAAAAATACCTGATGTGGTATTAATCACAAAGTTTTGGTAAAAACTCACTTAAACTCAATTCTGTAAAGTCTCATCATTATCCTGAAGGTCACAAAAGGTTGTTGGATCCAACTAGTCTCAGCATCCCGGTCATCCCGAAGCTACGCCGTTCTGAGACTGTTTAGGGATGCAGATATTAACAAAAACCAATTTAACAGGTAAAATGGCTAATGGCTAATATTTGTTAATGAGTATCAACCATTCATTAGTGCTTATGAACCCTTTGTAAAAGGTACCCAATTGCAAAGTGGTGAGAAAAAAATATTGTTTCCATTTGGTGAAGTCTTGAGGCAAATATTTAGTCTGTATCTGTTTTCTTCAATTGTTTATTCCTTTCATATTATTGTTTATCTCCTCGTTACCGATTCACACAATCTGACACAAGGGAGTGTTTGAAGTTTTTAATGTCAAAGTCAAACTTTTACATGATTCATCTTCATACCAAACCATTCGGCGACAGCACCTCCCCTTCCTCCTCATAGCAAATGCAATTAGTTCATTATGTAATTACAGGAGTGGAGCAGCAAAAAACAGAGCCAGCCCCATAAGAAACACAAAGTAGAGGAAAATTAAAAAGAAAGTTGTTTTTTTTTAATCATTTTTTTTCTCAAGTGCA